GTTGGGAAAATTGTTCACGCACAGGTGAACAGCGAGACTGCAGACAATCAGCCACACTGTATCCGTGGAGTGTAGCGTTTTAACGCTCGCCAAGTTGAGAACAGAGTCCAGACACAATGTCATCTAATAACTGTTGGCTGTATACATGAAGTTCCGTTTGGAGCGGCTGAAGTGCTTCGTGACCTCCACGGGCCGCGAGAAATCCCACTTATTGCTTTCAGTTATGGCATCATCGCGTTTTCTGAAACAAGACATGGCAAAAGGTTACGGGCCGCTGGACCATGGTCGGACAAAGTTAGCGGACCTCTGGCGAAACTTATTATGCCATACACTGAGCATGCACTGAACAACTGACACGACCATTTTGACGTCATCATTTGTTGATATTTGCCGCGCTCTTTGACCCGTCACAGCGTCGGCTTGGACGCACAAAAATGCCATTTAATTACCGACGACAGTGAGTGGCATGTGCGCGATAGTACTACGTACATGTACTGTACGTGGATTCGTTCAGCCAAGAGTTCGCATTAAAAGAGTCAATTGGATGCAAACGTCGATTGTTTCCCGCGCGAATTGACCTGCAATAGAAAAATAAGCAACGGCCAAGGTTGTCTTGATTTAATGTAATTTTCGAAGTGCAAATTACTTTCCGGAACAGCCTGAGCCTCTTCCTGACAGAAGAGACTTCCTGCTTTACACTGGCCGTAAATATGCGTGAGTCGGGTCTCGGAGCGTGGAAACTTTAATTTTCCCTTCTTTTTTCAACTGTCGTTTTCACGGCTTCGCAATGACAAGTTCATAGGATATTAACTTTTTCGAAGCATTTTTGAAGGTGATTTTGAATCTCGTCGGATGTTAAACTTTACGCTGGGAAATACAAGTGAATTCACAGACTGACCACCCCACCACCCCCCCACTGCAGAAAAACACGCCAAACAGAATCAAGCCGACGTTTGCCCACGCTTCGGCGCGACGCTGATATTCTCCAAGAATTTTGTGGTAGAGACGCGAGATCTTCAGTATTCTCCCCTAAGCCAACTATGAAGCCTACAGTTTCTACCTTGAAATGACGCCAAGTGATTTCAAGTTGAATCCCCATATGATGCAAGATATGGGGCAGAGCCTTTGTGTTGGTCATTGTTTGATCGGAATCTCATGAATTCTTTACAGCCTTCTTGGGGGGTGTGTTAGGTAACAATAGTCTAGAGTGTGTATAGGGATTAGGCAGGTAAGGGGGGGGACCCATCGGCCCCATATGGTGCATGGTATCTGGCATTGAGAGTTCCACATACGGACGAGTGGTGGAAGCACAGATGGATGCCATTTTTTACCACAAATTACAATTCAGATGGGCTTGTACTGTACTAGGAGAGAGACACGTCTGAAAGTTGGGAACGAGTTCATTGCTCTTCGTGCCCATATGCTGTTTATATTTTAAAAGGTCATATTTGTCAGTCCAGCGGACAAGCATGTCATATTTCCCTGACCCGCCCGTCATAAAACTGGACAAGAGGCCGTCTGTTATCTGATTACATGTAAGATAAGAGGATTAGATTTACGCGGGCATGCCAGTTGCATGTAATTGCCTTGCAGTGCATATAGCATGTACAGTGCTGTGTCCGGCTCTGCGCACCGTAAATACCCCCAAGGATCGATTTCGCTTTTGTATAGGGACCGTAAGGACCCCACCGTAAAGAGAAATCTCGACCCTTCATTGGTGTGTGAGATGAGAAAACACTGCGGCCTGCGAGTATATAGTTTGCATGGGAAGCGAAAGTTTGCAGATAATTCATCCTTGGCTGACAACACATTTTCCCTCAGAATACACGCTTTTCTCATTTTAAAAAAGGCCTCTTGTTTGTCTAGATCATTCTGGAAGTATCTCGTACTTGCATTGCAAGCAGAAACTATGAACTCCGACGAAAAGAGGGCCTTATGCCGAAACACCAATGGACAGCATACAATCCCGTGGGTCGAGAAAGATAGGCATGCATCCCTTTCAATTGAGGTTATCCAAGCATGGAGGAAGGAAAACAGATCCAAGCACAAGCCGATCACCCTACCCCCATTTGTTCTTGGTGGTGTTTGTTTTTTAATGTCTGCTGCTTGAGACCCGGCACCCCACAATGTCAACCGTGGGTGCGTATGGTAAGTTCAACCGTGACATCGTCTTGCACACCACGAATGATGACCACGACAGAAGCACAACGAGAAATGAGGAAAAACACTCGTCATATTATAAATTCAGACTTTAGCTAATGATCCACTTTTTCGAGCATCCAGCTCCGGTGAAAAACGAAATAACAGGATGTAATTCGAACCTCACATCTTCTCGTGGAAGCAAGTTACGCACGAGCTTCGCATGCTTTATATGTAGCAAGGTTGTTGAACATCTGTTATTTCAGTGCCCGTTCAAATAGCCTTTGCTGAGTAACAGGAAACCATACGGCAGCAATACAGCAAGTTACGTGCAATGAAGGATCAGAACTGGTAAAAAGCCTAAAGCGTATGTCCAGGTTTTGCCAAGTTTGGTGTCGGGGGGGATTCAAAAGTAAATGCGGCTCCGGGCTCATTGAACAAGATGTTGGGGAGAAATAAATGTCAAAAGCGGTCCCCGTCATTCTTGCTTTTATTTCGTGGTGTTATTTTCTGTGAGTTTTGGCGCTAATATTTGATAGATAAATGTACCGATTGCACTACAGAAAGGAAAAACGTTGGGCAAATGATCCGGGGGAGTTACCCCCCCCCCCCGCCACTGCTTAGTTAAAGCGTTTGTATCACCATGGTCTCTAGGGCTCTTTCGTAGTTCACAAAGAGCGTACATTATTATCGGTCTCAGCTCCCTTTAAAAGCTCCCGGGGGCCAATTTTATGGAGCTGCTTAAGCACAAATCTGCTTAAGCGCGGAAAAACCTTGCTTAAAAACCCCAAAAGGTTACTAGCTCAAACTCTACGTGATTGTCATGCTAACCAAAAGACAGCTAAATACCATTCCAAAACAATATACATCACACGTAGTTTTGGCTTGTTACCTGATTTATCAAGCAAAGGTTTTCTCGCGCCTAAGCAAAGTTTCTGCTTCAGCCCTAACTTAAGCAGTTTCCATGAAATTGGCCCCAGTCGAAGTACAGTAGCTCGTTGGTCGTTTGTTTTTGTTTTTACTCTGATGCAACAGCTAAAAAATCATCACACATTATGGTTTCCGTGCATTTGTCCTTGCCAGCACGACAGGTTACGGGCTTGGGTTTGCACTAACCATAACGGAGGAATTAAAAAGATACATGCAGTAAAACATAACAGAGAAATTTGCATATAGGAAAATACGTACGTGTAGTTTGGTTACTAACCTTGTAACGTCCATACATACATGTATACACGTACATGTACATGTGCACGTACTGTATGTGCACCCATACATGTACATGTACACACGTGTATTAAGCACGATTCAATGGGCCCAGACGATCACGTACAACGCTGTACATGTACAATTCTATTACAATGAAATGGTATCGAGCTTCTGTGAGTCGATTGACTTAGAACGTGGTGTAAGGCCTGCGAGAGTTTCCACTTCTATCCAATTCCTGATAAGGTTCCGTTGCTGGCCCGGCTGCTGTCCAACAGCCCAACTGTTGACGATTTCGAGACAGGCGGTCCCACCAATGATTAATCACGAGCCCTGTTGACAACCGCGGATCTGATTCATGATCCGATCTCGTGGATTATCTTTGGGACTCATAGACTTGTTCAAGTCTTTGGATGTTTTTTTTTTTTCGTTGCTAAGTTCACGGCACTTTCCAAGTGTCAACTTGTCACTCTCCTCTCTGCTGATGTCGACGCTCCAAGGAGATGCAGAGTTGTTTGTAGAGCGAGTGGCGACATGAGTGTCTCAAATGTTGGAAACAAAATGGTGGATAATGCGTCAGGGCACATGAATAGCAGCATGCTGTACTAGCTGCTCACATACCGAACAGCCATTTTGGTTCCAAAGTCTGAAGTTGGTGCTACTTTCTCTATTTTACAGCTCTGGAAAGGCGAGTTGACGGACCCCTGAAATAACATCCATCTGTAGTGATGTAACAAGACCCCTTTTGAAAAACGAAGTCGTTTGAGGCATAGTTTAGAGGAAAAGAAATTTTAGTTGCGTTCTGTGTTTTGGAAACGGGTTACAGGTTTTAATTTTCGGTTTTTTGGGGGTTTTTTTTAAATCAAACTCTAACACTACTGGTTAGAAAACGTCGTAAAGGGCTTCCACCAACAATATGGTGTAATGAGCACAAGAGTGGTTCTCGAGCGGTCGCACCATGGAAAAAGAGTTGGGCTTGTCTTCTTGCTACAGCCCTGCGCTGGAAGTCGAGCCAGCTTCCGATTTTGGAAACACAATGGCTGTTCGTTATGTGTAGGGTGCCTACACTAGAGCGTGCGGCTGTTGCATACCATGGAGGAAGGAAAATAGACATGCCAGTTGGTTTCCGACACTGATGGTGATACTCATGTCGCAACTCTCTTCCAGTATACCCAGCTCTGATACAGCCAACCCGCCGATGATTTTAAATAAACATCCCTTGTCTAAACCTGTGCCCCTGTTGCCATCCGCTGATGTTTTGTGCCTGTATCACCCACGTGCACGCAATCATGCACAGGATACAAGACTGCATTGGATCGTGCGATGATGCGATCTTTCGTCTCGAGAGGCCACGGACAGCCGGCGCACGACACGCTCGCAGGTGTACGCGTGGCAGTTCGGTGGTACAATGTACCTTGCATGCGCAGTGGTGCGGAGTGGACGTAGGCCTATAGCTTGGTCCGTGTGCTGAAAAGCCCCATGGTCCGTGCATATAGTAACGTGCGGCATTGTATGACGCGTCACAGGATCGTATGCGTGAGCATGGCCCAGTTTCTCTCCTCTGGTCAAGAAACCGCACTGAGAGACCGCCACGGACAAGGCCATAGCGGTCGGATGGCGATTCCAACGATCGATTTAACCCGAGGACAGGCAAAAAGGAAGAAGTTTAAATGAAAAGGCGGTCTTGGGTTGCCAAGCATGCCATATTTATACGCCCGATTGGGAGGGTCCGGATGCCCCGGGAAAAGTTGAAGTCTTTCAGGGTCTGTGGGCTGCCCGGATTTCTTGAAATCTTTCATTCTTTCTCTTGCGTTCTATTAAAGTAACCAATTAAGGAATTTTCGCATCGTTTATTTTCAAGTTGGCCTTGTAGCGTGAAATTAGTCAGCGGCTTGACGGGGGCAAGGGGTAGTTGTAACTCCCTAATCCCATGAACGAGACCTGCTACTGATTTGCTTTTGGACACACAAACAAATCATCATGCAAACAATTCATCAATTGATAAAGTATCCATAAACTATGGGTGACTTCAGAACTCGTTGGCATGGGACTGAACTTCATTTACAGTCTCGATAAACCGGTTGTGGGCATCGATGAACAGAAAAAGCAACTTCCCCTCGCATTGAAAAAAAAAAGCCTTGCTATCCAGGGCTCCACGTTGCGCGTTTCTCCGTCTCTTCACCCAGTAATTGATTAGAAAGGCGGGCAACAATCAATGGGCATAGTCAATTCCGTTTTTCGCCAGCCGATTTCTGCAGCGTCTCGGGGAAAAGAGCGTGGCCAGCAATATCACGCCAGCGTAACGCAAGCTGAAGCAGTGAATGTTTCCTTCATCTTGAGAACATTGCCGAGGTGACTAAAAATGACGGATCCGTTCTGGGCAACCACAGCCTTTGTCGACCGCGATGTTGTAGGGTGAGCTTTGAATAACATGTACGGAAAAGGCGCACTCGTTTTGCTAGTGAGTATATTCTTGTATCGCATTAATTAATGAATGCAAGTTGTTCACTGCAGCACTTTCCGGATAGGTTACCAGTCCCGATAAAGCTCCGGTAAAGGGGAGGGGCGGGGTGGGGTCTTCAGCCTCAAGGTATGTCTGTTAGTTGTGTTAATGTTACAGGTTCTACTAGTTTTAACATTTCCAATTTTTTTCGTATCTTCAAATGCTTTCAACAAATTCCCAGGACACTGCATCTTTTCTGACAATCATAGATTCTTCGTTTTGTAAATTTGAACTGATTCGGGCAATGTTCCCTTGAAACCACATCTGGTGGAGCCCACTGGTTTTGCTGGGCCCATTTAACACAACAAACAAACCCATGATTCAACACTTTGATTTATGAGCAACCCAACATTTCTTTGTGTTGCAGGTGGTTTTGCTTGGCGTGGAGCGCATCTGTGGCCAGTGTGTTGACGGTACGTCCACGGTTCTTTTCGACTTTATACCTAGGCCTATAATTGCCTCGAACGAGCACTATTGAAAGTGCGGTGTCGATGCAACGAATTTCCACGGCGCAATAGATCCTCTGCACTTAACACCGAATTTATACTAGTACTTTACAGTCCGCCATCTTTGAATTTGATGCCGAGCCACGTCCAAGAATCGAGTTTCTTTGTCAACGGCTTTATTTGTGCCATTGGTTCGTCACACCTACGCCTTTGGAAAGTCACACCTACCCTAGCCCCCGGAAGTATACCACGTCACACAAGTGTGTATTTGCCTGCAACTGGGGACCCCCGTATTGTTCCTCTTTTGTTTGTACTTTAACTTTTTTTTCAAAACCACCCATATGTTTTGTACACAGTTGTCAATCGGGGACCCTCTGTCAATCGAGGACCTTATTGTCCTCTATTGTTCAAGGTCCCCAATTGAATGCAGAAACAAACTCGTATCCCTGATCCGTTACAATCTCATCATCTTTTTGTTCAGAATCACCGATGCCTCCCACTGTACCGCCCACCAGCTGGACGGCATGGTACAACGTGGACGACCCCACCGACGGAACTGACGATGAAACTCATGCAGCGGTCAATGCGGTTAGTCGCTCTCCTTGTCATGTATACGGGGCTGCTGGTCTGTCCGTCCGTCAGTCCATTGTTTGAAAATCCCACAGTCCCCTAGGCTAGACGCCTTTGCTTACTGTTGGCATGTAGCCCGTAATCTTTAGAAGTGTGTTCATATGTTTATTTATGTTCATTTCACTCTCTATCGGTCTTTTCGTGTCACGAGTCAGTCATGTTCACATGTTACCTTCCCACTCAGTACATTATCATGATGGCCGCATCGCACTTGATGCAGTTTTGACTATTCCTACGGTTACATCTCTCTCACAAATGCAAATATCGTAACTCTGTGCAGGTGCATCCCGCCGTGTGCCCCACTCCTACCCAAGCCGACTGCCGGGTTCGATTCCTAAATACCGACCACGTGACTGCAGGCCAGACGCTGGTCACCGGCTGTTCTCCTACCGGAGGGTTGCTGTGCCAAGACGCCGACCAAACCGACTCTCGAAGATGTCTGGATTACGAGATAAGATTCCAGTGCCCGACCCCTGAAGGTGAAAATCACACAGTCCTTATCCTTTCTAGTCTTTGCTGTCTCTTCAAAACTAGTAGGAATCAACTTTTTCTTGAAAACTAGAACAAGATAAATAGACCAGATTTTATTCACCTTTGCATTCATGGAAAGAGATGGGCATGTCTCTTTCGTCTTTTCAAAAATTGAACAACCCGTTAACCGGCGTCCACACTGAAGGCGAATTTGTGACGTCATATAAAATATTTTTCGGCTGCCAGGTTGGCGAAAATTAAGCACAGTTCAATAAGCCTTTTGCGAGTTAAGTTTGAATAAAATCCGGTACACTGAGTCATCTGATTGCTCATATACTATATCAGTTTGAATTCCCCAGACTAAACTGTTCGTGATTTGGGGCAAGCTTTTGCACAGCAACCACCATCTCTGGAATGGACTGGTTCCTTTGTGCCCTTCTTATCCATTGAAAACAGTGTATTGGAGGTATAGCAACAGGGTCTTTAGTGTGGAGAATTCAAATCGTCATGTTCACGTAAATTTTAATACAGGACTCAGTGTACTAGATTTTATTCAAATCAAACTCACAAAAGGCTTACTCGAATGAAATTTCGCTGCAAATCTTTTATGACGTTAAATTCGCCCCGCTCTTACTTTTGCCTGCAGTAAAAACCGGTCTTTAGGCTGTTCCCGAATGTTTTAGCATGCTCCATCAAGTCGTTCGAGATCAGCCGTTGACGAGTTAGTTGCGAAATTATACTTGACTGTGATTTTTGTTTTCTAGATGCCCTGCCAGAGCCTCATTTCCACTGGGACATGAGCACCAAGACATCGGTGGACTCTGATGAGCCCGTGACCTGCGACGGCACCGTGTCGTCCATCTACCCCACTGCCGGTGGTATGACAGGCATCATCGGTGGCACCCTTCTTGTCACCGACAGTTTCGACTCGTCGGATCACCTGTGTGCCGTCAGGAACCAGAAGGCAGGTTGGATTAACTACGGATCGGGTAACGACAGGTGCATCTCCGAGCCTGTCTGCTGCACGTCAGGCTTTACCATGACATTCTGGATGAGGAATAGAACGCCGGCATTCACTCCCGTGACCATCATCATTGCAACTGGCGGTCACGCTGGAAGGGCAAGGGGATTGGTCCTATACTTAGGAGACTTTATGAGTTTCGATGTTAGGGGTTTCGTTACTTCACAGGTTTTCAAACTGAACATAAAGGGCTACTTTCCTGACGATCAGTGGACTCATCACTCTTTCACCTACGAGCCAGGAGTCGGAACAAATTATTACAAGGACGGGGTTTTCGTTGTTTCCACCGACACAGCCGTCAACGAGGGCACTTCTGCTTTGCATTTCGACGATGTCGTCATGTTTTCGAGAAACAACGATCCAAGTGGGTGGCCACTCGAGCTGATTGACGGAGACTTCAGCAATTTCAAAATGTTTTACAAGACTTTCAACGAAACAGAAGTCCAAAACGCATATCTTCAAGAAACATCGGGTAAATTTTGTACCAAAAAAAATCTTCCTTTTTTCTTTACAGAATTGATTCGTCTCACTGTAATTTCGTTATATTTGATGTTCAAATCGAATTTGGATTCACGGATCGTTTGGTATGACTTTAATATTTCTTGTAACTTGTGTGTACAATTTTCTGGACGTGTCATTTATTTTAAATGACACATGACGATTTCCTTTTACATGTTAAGATTGATCAGTTACCGTCACTACATAATTTCTAAGAATTTATGTTATTCATAAATTTTGCGATTTTCAGCACAATCTAGGCTCGTTTTTTTTAAGTTCGTATCGTATAAGGGTTTCATCATTTACTGATTTCTGTTTTTATTTCACACCGTTTCCATAACCAGAATCCAAGCTTCTCATCCACTACCTGAGGAAGCACAGTCACGAGGACAGCTTTGGGGTCGAGCTGGAGTGCCTTGCCAAGGCTGGCAGTCAACCGACTATCGTCTGGCATCGCTCAGTCGACGGCGCGCACTTTGAGCCGGTTTCCTCGTCGGCAGACGTGGCTATTTACGAGAGTTCACCCAACAGCTATAGAAGACGATCGATCTTGGTCGCTCGCGATCTCAGCTTTTCATCCGATGTCATCTTCGTGTGCGAGGCAGTGGACACTGCTCGCAGGGGTAGTGTGTCCAAGAGGGTCACCATTCCGAAACGTACGTAGTCACGCTGTCAAAAATAAATCGATCTGTGACATTTAAAATGAACTTAACTAACTGCAAACTGCCGATGTTTGCCGTTCCCTACAGGTGATTCATACTGGACGCCGTGGTTGAGCGCTGATAGCCCAGCGGATGGTGACGATAGAGAGACGTTAATCCAACACCAACAGGTACATGTCTGGGAAGGATTGAGTTCATCCCACCTGTAGTCTACTAATATCTATAGGCCCCTAAACTTACATCAGTCTTGAATGATGGTAGTCGGTGTTTCTTAAAAATGAGGCTGTGAGTTCCCCCTGGGTCAAGTCAGACTATATCGTCTGTGTTCCCGTGTCGCAGTTTGAAAATGTCAGTGCCGGGGGTGCTTTTTCTTTCCATTTCCCGCCTTTAACTCCTCGTCTCGTCTTTCATCGCGTATTTTTCAGGGCTATGAAATGCTCTGCCAGTATCCCGAAGACATCCAGTGCCGTACAGTCTATGAAGGCACACCATCCAATGAGACTGGGCAGCTACTGAGCATCAACTGCACGTTAACATCAGGTTTGGTGTGCCTCGGTGCTGATCAGAGCGTAGACAACACACGCACGTGCTACGACTACGAAGTTCGATACCAGTGTCCACAACGTAAGTATCTAAATAGTGAGCGGTTAAGCCCATTCTTATTCGATCAAGGCAATTGATGGATCCAAGATGGCGTTTGGCAGTTGTCACATGTACGTTTGTAAAAACCAGATGCATACGGCATGTGGATTCTATAAACGTATCTGTTGCAAACTCCATTCATAACACCTTCCAACCGTTTGCCTTTGTCAGCCAGCTTTCGTTTGACGCCTTGGTATGATGCTTCGGACCCTGACGGATCCATGGAGGATGAAACCTTGGCTACTCACTTGAAGCAGGTTAGTGCACATGGGCTCATTCAGCTTTGGTATATGTTCGGATTTTTTGCTACCGGCTTATTGGTCCTGGGCGTCGTCTTGAGGCTCCCGTTACTTGACCACGCCCACAAGCTGTATGCAAATCTCTCTGAGCCAAGCCACAGGTGCTGGATATCATCATATCACCTTGAGTATCACATCAAGGACATTGTTTCCATTCCAATGTTCATAAAATATATTACAGGACTCTTCTAAATATACAGGCATATTGTGTCGCCCTCATAAATCTTGACAAACCAATTTATGCATCCACCTCATGGGTGCAACATGTCGTCTGGAGGTCCATACTTACAGTGCCTTTTGCGTTTATTCTGTCTTCAAGGCGTACCCTGACCTATGCAGCCAGCCCGTAGGCGCAGAATGTCGCCTGAAGACGACCAAGCAAGACCTGCTGGCTAGTGGATTCGTTCCCGAGGTTCCGTATCTCTGTAATGCCAATGGATTCCGCTGTCAGCACGCAGATAACACCGGATCGTGTCCTGATTTCGAAGTGCGTTACAGGTGCCCGGATTCTATAGGTAATGTCTGAAATTTTCACTTGCAGTTTGGTACTCCATGATCCTGAAGCTTGAACCATACCGGAATAAATCTCTGTAATTAGACTGAGACATAAAGATGTGAGGCAGCTAGACACAGTCAAGGCTGCAGTAGGCACCCGTCTTTTGACCTGCATTTAGGTTTTAGGAAGAATCACCTGAAGGCGTATGCAGCTGATATTTTGGCCGATGTTAAACAGTAAGAATCCAGTTGGTTACAGAGTATAATGCTGTTAACATTTGTCGGCAATAGTCTCATTCCACACCTCCCCAGTTTCTGATCTTTATGTCTAAGCTTTCTGTTTTGCTACACTTGATCTCTCTGTACCCCATCCTATTTTTTTTCATTTCACAGTCACGGACGTAACAGTCAATCTCCGACCACTTCATTCCCCGAACGACACTGTCGTTCGCCTGGAGTGCAGCGCCACCGGTGGTCAGCCCATCTCAGCCGATCTCAGACTGGAATGGGCGTGGCTCGATCTCGCCCACCCCTGGGCTGCTGCAGTGCTTACAGCGGGTGCAGCCGTTGATGTCGTGGTGGACAGCTCACGCCCGGACCTCAAGTCATCTCTCTTAACGATCGTTGACTTTCTTTGCAGTGACTACTCAGACAAGACCATTGTCTGCCTTGTGAGGGATGGCATCACCATTGTTGTGAAAACGATTCAGCCCCTTGCAAGTAAGTTGGTGGGGAGTTCCCATGGAGTCGATGCAGTTTTATGCATTTAATTTTTACTATTGAAGTTTGTTTTACGGTTCCAGTACCTCCCTAGATAAGATGGTACCCCCCCTCCGGTACCCTAGCGTTCCATAGCTGTACTGAGTCTGATAAAAAGACAGCAAAGCACGGTCGTTTAAAGCTTGTCAACGGTGTTGCATGCCATTTTGTTACGGATGCCTATTACTGCAGTAAGACGGTAGGCGAGAACCCTCACGTGACCTCTCTACCAATCGTCGATAACTGATAAATCAAAGAGTAACAGACACTGGTCCCCTTTTGACTAGGGATTATAACTTAATGGAAGGGGCGGTAGGAGTACCAATTGGCTATAGGTTTCATCCGCATCTGTTGTCTAGAGCCAAGTCAGGGTCTTCACTCCATTGGAAATATGTGGAGTCGTACAGACAATACACCTAGTCGTAGCTCTGGAAGCCTGTCTCGGCCACGGCCGTAGCACAAGCTAGCTAGGGCCTCAGGATTACTCTTCTTATTTATTTCCAGAGCCTCCAGTTCCTGTTCTGTTGGAGTTCTGGGAGCTGAGCGGGGAACCAAACCTCGACCATCAAGATCCCACCTCCTGCTCCTCTGTCTCCAATCATAGTTTCCCTTCGACCGAGAGCGATCGAAAGTCGCAAGCGGTGGGTCGCGTGACCTACATCGACGCGCCGGCCGTCGTAGGTCACGCCTGTGCCGTCTTGAGCGGCACCGACAGCGCGTTGGATCTTGGAGCCTTCGACGGAGAGTGCATATCGTCCCTGGAGCTTTGCTCATGCGGGTTGACCTTCGCCCTCTGGGTTATGGCGTTTGACCCGGGCCCGCTGACTTTCGATTGGTTCTTTTTGAGTTCCGGAGGTTGGAGCTCGTCTTCCCACGGTATTGCGTTTTACCAGTCGGCAACGGACCATTCCTACAGGTTGAAAGTCTGTACATCCACAAAATGTTTCGGTGAGGCGATTGTTGCCAACAACCAGGTGCCGAAGGGGTCTTGGTTTCACCTGGCTCTGGTTTTTGACCACAAACTTGGACTTCAGGTATTCGTTCTGCTTTCATATTTCACTGCATGGGTTTTTCTGTTAAATTTGTAAACCCAGGATTTACTTACTGCAAATTTTTTTTAAAAAATGCTTAAATAACCAAAAATAAA